TTAATGTTAATATTTTTTGAATTACAGAAATAAAAAGAACAAAATAAATGTATATATATAATTTCAAAAAATAGTCATCTGAATCAAAGGGACTTTAAATTATTTCTTTCAAATTCAAATTGTATTAAATTAAATAATGAGAAATATACAAAACTTCTTGAACTATCTATTTTAGATTTAGGTAATTGCATTTACAGGAGTATTGGTTTGTAATGAATCTATTAAAAAAATATATTTTGGTTTTATCGAGTTTTATATCCAAATAATTATAGTTGTGCAATAAAGCTATATAGTACTCAATTGCATGTTAGGAAATATATTTTATGAAATTAAAAATAATTTTGTAGATTTTTGAAATATTAAAATGTATTATAACCATTACTAAAAGATTACTTTTATGATATTTTTTGATTTAGCTAGTCTTCTTCCCTGAATACTCTCGTTATGTAATAAAACTGCACATTTCACAATCGCATGTTGAGAAATACGAATTTTTTTTTCACATTCGATTCTGTTGATCCAGCTAAACCCGGTGAACGGAGAATTTCTAATTTCACAAATTCATATGCAACAACAAAAAAAATATGAAAGAAATAAAGGCGGCTTCTCTAAATTTTTCGCAATGCTCCCCCCTAATGGAACGGATAACGAGAGCGTAAGCATAACAATGCACACAATCCAAACACGAAGGAGACAGCTCGATCTTTGATAGATCGATCATCTCGCTCTCACTCTAAGCATACATACCGAAAGAATGGCTCTGTTCTATCGGAGATGCAGTTTCACTTTCTATAAAATACACGCCGGTCCGCGGCAGTTACGCCGGCAACGCTCGTTACGTAACCGGTGACCGCAATTTTGCAATTCTCGCACGGGTACTGTGCCTGACTTTTGCCTCTTAGGTGTCGAGAAGCTTGAAAAAGGTTTATCTCCGAAAGGGAAATAAACGTGAAGGAACTGGGTCTCTCTTATTGAAAGATGAAGGAGGTAGACGGTTTAGTTTGAATACATGAACGGAATCAATGATAAATATGTTGTAAATGCATGCATCTAGTTTCTAACGAGAACACGTAGCGTATACTTCTGTCGTACAATTTGGCGTTGCATAATTAATGTGCAATTAGTAATGTAGGTCGTAGTAAAACTAGCTCCTGGGCGGTCTACAAAAGAAGATTAGTATTCCGATTCGAATAATAGAATAGGCGACAAATTATCAAACAGATGAAATCAACCAATAATTCACAAGGTCACATTTATAATTCCTCTAATGACCATTCCTCTGTTTGAATATTATAACTTATGATGAATTATTCATAAAAAGTAATTTCAGTGGAAATAACCAATAACCCTCTGTATAATATTCAATAAATATTAAAATAATAATCTTTATTGCAATAAAAAAACATTTCTATTCAATTTCAATAAATATTTTTAATTATTTATGTTTAAATCATAAAAATGTTGACTCTTTGACGTAAGATGACAGTTGTTGCGGACCCTTATGTTGTGAAACGCTGATCTAATACTCTTTTTCCATGTTTGTTGCTATAGTTATACTACTTAATATAGTACAATTTTGCTATTTTAATATTACGTTTTTATTGTAATTTACTGCATAGTTTAGCTTCAATTTATTTTTGAAATATTTTGTATTTTTAATCTCTAAAGAAATGTGAATCACAATGTATTACAATTTTGGATTAATGTTCTTCTATGTTATTTTAATTAACTTTTTCAGGGCAAAATATTATATAGGAAATGTATGGGAAAGAGGAATTATCCTTTAATTTGGTTGGTATGTCTATGGATGAATCTTGACCTATACCATCCGATGTTGATTCAGTTGTCTAGAAAATTATGTTTTATAAATTTAATTATTAGTAAATACTTGCATGCATTTTAGGTAAATATAAAATGGGACAGCACCAGAACGTTACAGAAATTAGAAAGACCTTTCGAAAGCAAAATCAATAATTGATTGGCGGCTTATGTAACAGGTTTAGAAGTTGCGTTTCACTGTCAATTATCGGCCAACTCAAATGCGTTAAATTTTAATTATCGATTATACATTTTGCGCTACACCAGTAATTGTAATAACTCGTCTATGAATTAATGATTAGTTCCAAAATTAATTATCACTTGTATTTTTTTATATCTATTTCCTCCGAAAACTTTAATTACGAATTGTATGTCTTAATCGCATTTCCATAATTGCCGGAGGAAATGCGACCTAATTGCAGCATTGTGTTCTAATGCGTTTCATTGTCATACTTGTTTATACATATATAAGTCACGTTATTTGTCCTGGGAATAGATGTTATGTTAATTCAACTACATTGCTCTACGTGATCATAAATAAAACGATGTTTTAATGTCACATCATATGTAAACTTATTTAGTGGCGCGCGTTTTCAGGCATTATCAAGATAATAAAGCTGCTTTACTTCATTTAGGTGGATGAATGTCTGCGGTAAGCAGACTGGTGCTAAGAGTGCTGTACGCTGCTCCAGTATGGGAAGAAGCGATGAAGGAGAAGCATAGGGGAGCAATATGGGTCTGAAGCGTATACTGAACAATCTCCCGAGATGCAGTTCAAATAATTGCTGGCATGCCACCAATCGAATTTCTAGCCAGAGAGATGCGAGAGGCAGAGAGGGGCTAGACTGTTGGAAAAGTGGCAGAAAAAATGGGATAGCTCACAGAAGGGAGCCTGGACTAGACGCTTAAACCCAGAAATAGGACCTTGAATTTCCAGAAAACACGGCTAGACAACATTCCATCTGAGCCAAGCGCTTTCCGGGCACGGGTGCTTCAGCAAGTACCTGTACTTTATAGCAAGGAAGGAGAACGAAAAGCTGGTGCTGGTATTGTGAAGAAGAAGCCCAGAACACAGGTTCTTTGGATGCTGCAGATGGGTGACGCTGAAGAGCCGAGAGAAGTGGGACATCATCACAAGTTATATAGCAGGGGTGTTGTCTATTAAAGAAAATGATGAGCGAAGGATGGAGAGAGAAAGGGTAGAAAGTGATAGTGGACACACTGCATTGCAGATAGAGGTTTTAGTACTGTAAGAATCCCACAGTACCACGATTCCACCCGTGATCCCTAGATAAGGTTTCCTCTTCTCTACAGAAAAAAAGGAAAGGTGTTTGAATGTGTTAATTGCAATATCCTTGTGTAAACTGCATGTTTTTCTATTCCAAATGCTACTGGATATTTCGCAAGGAACAACGAAAAATAAGAAATATGGCCTTGCGTTAGGAAAAACTAAAAAAAATGCTTATTCAAAGGATATTGCATTGTAATTGTGCTGTAAACGGAGGCAATGAGCGTTAGGTTGTTTTTTTTTTCATATACATTACAAATTACACAGTGACTATATTTTAATTTTTAATATTACGCTATATTATGACATGGAATTAGGCACACTTTTTTATGCGTTCTACATTTATTTTACGTACTTAAATCTGAGGAATTGCAACATTGATTGTGCAATGTATGATTAGGGTAACATGTTCGGAATGTTGTCCGCAAGCAAATTGTTTGCAAAACTGAAATTTGCTTAAAACTTTGTAAATATTATTAGTAAATTAACTCGCGGTTGACACATTTCACTTAGTTATATAATTGTAATGGACAGTGCAGGTGTTAATCACCTCTTAGAGATATATTTAGAGGTTTTAAACGTTGCAGTTGTTGGGTTATTGTAGCCAAATGTGCTACAGTTTCATTATAAATTATCAGTACGATGTTTGATCTAAATTGATTTAACCTGGAAAAAACTTTAGTAATGCTCTTATTTGCGTGCGATATATACTAGATAGAAATTAGCCCAAAACCTAGGAAATGTTTGACGTCCGCTGTTTTGAATTTTTTGTAATGTATTAATTAATATACAAAATGAATACAAAAAAAATATTATACTTCTTCACTTAGAAATGATTTCTGCATCATTTTATATTTACGAGATAGACGATTCTATATGCGTTAAAGATAATTGATTCTATTTAAGTCATAGATAATTGATGTTCCTAAATTTCATTTTTTTTGGTAGTTCTTTCAACGTTAAACCTCTAATTAGATAACATCCTGTAGCTTCATTTGTTTTATTTCGTAAGTGAGGTATATTATTTGAGACCTATCTGGTTTATTAATTAGGAACATCTGGAATTGTGTTTGTCAATTACTTTTACATGTTTTTTTTCACATAACGAGAAAATAAAAGTTATTGAAATGTTATTGATGATTTTTCAAGGATATAAGAGTTCAGAAAATTTGTCATTGTATCCATCATCATATATTTGCAAAATGTGATTTTAATTAATCGAATTAAACTCTTGATTTCAATAAAAACAAATTTTTGTCGATTTGAAAAATGACTTGGAAAAAAAATTGAAAATCATCAATTACTGCAAGTTTTTTAATTATCTTTAATTGAAATATATCATTTCAATAATTACATAAGTATTTATATTTACTCGACACAATTATATATATCTACTTTACTATACTTTAGTATATATTTGTAGAATTATAAGAATTGTCAATAGTTATTGTTATTTTTTAAATTATTTCGATAAATATTAATATTTCTAAAAAATAGAAACTATGTGATCGCAACTGTGACTTATCTAAGTCAAAACGTAGGAGAGATAAATTAGAATACAATTGCTGAATATTTAATGGTTCGCGGTACAAGAGACGTTGTACGTCCATTTTATGTAACCAAAATGCAGATAATTACAGAATGTATGTATCCATTGTTTGGTTGTACGTAATTCAATTGTTTCATTTTCTTTCGGTATTCTTTGTTTATAATTTATTTTAATTGCCAATTATTGAAAATAATTTTTATATATACAATTTTGTTAATCATCAATAAATGTTTTTCTTTCTTACATAATTTTACAAAATAAAAAATTATTATATAATTGATAAAGATGATTTCGTTAAAAAAAATGTTTTTCTGTTAGTAACAATTATGTTTTCTTTGATTTCAGAACTTCAGTATAGCGTGTCCAGCCAAGTGCGATACCGCATGCACGTTTATTGGGGCGTGAATATTAAAGAACTGCACGTGTGCCTCTGGCGTCCCTGGGCTGCGCTGAAGGAACTTTGTCAGAATGGTACCCTCCTAAACGATCATTATCAACAGCCAGGACCACAATTACAGTAAGGAACGATGTTTAATGTATTCATATTTAGGAAACCAGTAATTCAGGATAATTGTAGGGACCAAAACGTCACTTAATTATTTATCGTGAATACAAGAAGCATAATTATGTAATTACTATAATTACATTTAAAACATTATGTTTATGTCTTGAATAAATGTAAAAGAAGCTTTTTTTCATATTTATTCGTCAACAAAACTAGAAATATTCTTCATTACTGATGATCTATTTTTTATGTTTGGTCGTATTTTTTTATAATGTATGGTACTAAATTTGGTTGAATTTTGTTTAAATTGCTTCATAATAAATAAAAATATTATGACGTTTCTAAAAATAGCACATCAATTATCTTCATTAAAATTAATAACTGAATAAAAAAAAACTTTCTATTTCGCAGCAAAGGCCCGCATTCTGATGAGATAATCAAATTGAGCCTGCCGGCACCGTTGGATCTGGGCACACCTCCGAGACTCTGCTATCCCGTGGTCATCTTCTTGCTGAGAGTCGACAACGAGGGCGACGTTCATCCGGATGAAACCGTGACTTAGCCTCCTCGCCTATCTATCAGAACTCCGTAGAACTTTCAATTGTTTTTGTTTTTCTAGGTCGCCCTAATCAATGTAGTTCACATAAAGGATTCCGTATGCACGCTACCCACCAGTATTTTAGCTCAATACTTGAAACAGGCTAACGGACAGTTGTCCTGTTTAAAAGTAAGACATGTCCGTTTGTTCCGTTGTTTCGCAGTTCTGAACATTTGTTTTTCTTTCAGCAACTTTACCTCGCCACCGGGAATCCCGGCAACTACGACGAGGATAATCACATACCTCTGGCATTGGCCGAACCCGTGAACGGCGATGCGACGATGGGTCAGACCATAGTTTGTCCGACGTCCGATGATTCCGCGATTTGGAATTCGTCCGGTGAACAGCTCTGCGTTGTATGCCAGTATTTCCCTTTGTCTCGCGCATTACTTCCATGCAGGTAGATTGAGATGAGTATTTTTAGGATTATTTATTGATACTAATCCGCATTTCAGACATACTTGCATATGCGCCAGTTGCTTCGACAAACTGGACAGATGTCCGATGTGCAGAGGTTCGATTAAAAGCTACTTCTGTATTCGCGGCGAAGAGTATATGCCACCAATACAGTCGATGCCCAAGAATCCGCAAGAACAACACGGTCACCTTTACAATTGGCTGGACAGCCTGAACGATGCCCTCATTGATTTCTTGGGTTTTCAGCGGTAACACCCTCGACTTTGAACTCGCCTACAGATTGTTATGATTAATATTATTATCCTTACTATACTACTAACTGTTACCAGCGTCGAAGAGAAGAAGGTCGCCAACATATTCATTAATAATATATATGTATATTGTAAACTTAGATTGATCGATGAGTGAACTGAACGGCATTATGGAATGGATCAGGTTAGGTTGTGATCGATTTGAAACTATACTCATTTTTTTTTGTAATTTACAATTATTGCTATTAATAGTCAATATTTGCTATTTTCTTGTCCCTCCCTATATTATATTTTATTAGGTACATACGTATGTTTATTTTTATTTAAAATACTTTTAGTTTTACAAAAATAAGAAATTCATATTTCGTTTGTTTGTTTATTTTTTTTTGTAAGAGAGCTATATTTGTTTTACCGCAATTATTATTTTGTGTATATTTTTAATAGGAATTATTTATCTGACTACTATACTGTGATAATTGATACAATGTAAATAAAGTTGATATATATTATAAAATAAAACGTTCCTTTACATCCTACAAAAAATTTAAAGCGATATTATTTTAGATATTGCACTTCGAGTATGCTTCTTGGCTCATTGGGCATTGACCAAAGCCACTATAGAATCAATAATAGAATTACACTAGTCGGTTTGATTATAACCGTTCTTTCATTAAATATTCAACTATGTAGTTGAAATATTTCCCAGTTTGTGTCAAATAGCATACACTAAGCCTGGGGTTCTCATACACTATGTCCGTGGGTAAGAAAATTATTTAGTAATTAATTAGAATGTACTATACATTTACCGTAATTTTAGAATACAAAATGTTCGAGTGCCCCTGCTTTAAGTTATAACTCGTTATAACAAAAGCAATAATACGTACATGGCAATTTACATGAAACTAACATAATGTTCGTAGGAACGTACAATAATCACACGTAAAATTAAATTGTATTTTTAATATCTTTTGAAGGATTTATCTGGCTTTATATAAAAATACATCATGATAACACTAAGAAAATGTCTAGCATATGATGCCAGGAGAACGCCCGACCTCCAAAATGTACGTTCGTATGAACGCACTGCGAACAAATAGACACGTTAGAGTTACGATATGAACGTTAACTGGACACAGACTAATAAAAATAGCAAGAAGATACATTTATATAAGTGTTAATTCCAACGCTAGACACTCTAATGTACTTACTTCGTAAGTACTAATTATTTTTATATTTACTACAATTACAACAACAAAACTAAAACATTATATAATCATAATATTTGACATAATGACGTATGAAGTTATAAAGTTCTTTACTATAATTAGAACTATATAAATTGTATGTAAGCAATAAAAAAACTTAATATTAAGAAATATGCTCACAAGTAAACATAATCAGATAATGATACTGAGAATTGAATAAACAATTTAAAACGTAGGTGTACATTGGAAAAACCATGCATGTCGAAATAAAGTTTTAATAATGCTTTTACGGACATTGCTTTTACATAATTTATTACGGACATTTTTCAGATTAAAATTTCAGAATGCCTTTGTTACATAAGCATGTTTTTCTTTCAATTTCGATATAATCATGTTTAGTGAGGACTTGGCCACTGCATGTATCATCGTTTTCTCCACATTTTTGTTCACCTAAAACTGAATAGACTATTTAATAAATAATAATAATAACAATTATTGCATCAGTCGTACAAAAAACATACAGAAATAAAAAGAACAAAATATATATAATATAAAAAAAAATGAAAATCTCCTTTGTGATTTATAAATAATTTCTAACAAATTCTAATGACTCTACTTACTTGCTGTTAACGTTATTTATATTTGTCCATTTACTAATATAAATGATGTACATTGTGAAATGTATGAAGCAATTACAGAAATTCACTTTCTTTTGTATTTAAAATCAATTAAATTCATTAAAATGTTTATGATCTATTGCCTTAAATGTATTCTTCCAATAATATATTTAAGCATATAATTCTTCAACAGGATTGCGAACAGCAATACTGAGAGACTGAAGGAATAATTTTACGCTCCAATACAATAAAAACAAACATTTATTCAACAAATAAAATACAAGAAATAATTTACTAAATTATTTTTAAAACATCATATTAATATATAGAAAATAATTCATTGTAAATATTCATTATTAATGTTTTTGATTGAGTATCCTTCAACAAACATTATTTGTAATAAAATATTCAAAGTTTTGGACATTTTTCTGCTTTAATGCACCTTCCATTTTTTACGAATCTCAAATAGCCTTCATTGCATAAACATGTTTGGATGGCGATCTCAATAAAGTCTTTATCGGTCAACACTTGTCCACAGTATGTGTCTTCGTACGGAGCAACCCATGCGACGTGTTCATTATCACCGCATTCGTTCCTGGATAATACTGAAATTAAAAATGAATGTTAATCTAATAATATTATCACAAACGTAACCGAAAAATGACATACCAGAAGCCGCAGAAACGACAACCAAGAACAAAATGAGGACTTTGCTGTTCATATTTGAAATATCGACTAGTGGTTTCCGTTTGTACCAGCCAATTTATATACATTTTACGATTGTTAAATTTTATATATTTTTTAATAACTAAGCATTTTATAACATGTTAATTCTCCTCATTGTTATTAGAACAATGAATTTAAAGATTAATTACTCGACTTTGTAGTATTTAACTTGCAAAAAATGTTTAAGCCAACCTTAAACGCCCATTTACTAAAATCATTTAGTAAATGTTTAAAGAGTTATCAAAGCTTTATGCAAATAAAGTGTATAAAAATGAGTACAATTATATAAATTGTGCATGTACACATATTTTATTATTTCATAATTATTTTGCGGTTGGGAATATACTAAAATATTAATGATTTGATATGTTCGTATTGTAGTAAAAAAACATGTATTACCTTCTAATTTAACGTATCCTAAATTTAAATGTCTTGAATGTAATTATATTTATTGATAATGGGATATCAATTAAGGACTTATACTCTTTATATGTATACGATTATGTTAAAATCAAAATATTTAACAATAGGAGCGTTAATTTTATTTAGTCTTCAGGTTAGAGCCAAATGGATTGGCAAGCAATTTTACAGCAGTTATAAATAGTATGAATGTATTAATACTATGGTTTTGTTTGTAAAATAATAACTAAAATTACAAGTTATTAATAAAAATGTCTCAAATAAACGAAAGATAATTAACATAATTTTTTATTAATACAAAGAATGACTATAAAAAAAAATACATGGTTGTATATAAATTAGTGAAATATAAATAATAATAATAGTTAAAACAATCATTCTGAAACTACATCTAGACTCTTGTTCAGTCTTTTATTGGCTTTTTTTCTGGTAGCCCTTTTGGTCACTTTCTTCCCATTAGCCATATCCCTTATTCGAAGCATTTCTGAATTAGGATTAGCATCGGTTCCATCAACCGTCGATACAGTAGCAACTCGTCTTTCACGCCGTTTTGGCACAACTGCTGGCGCCGCTTTCGTAACCACTTTAGGCTTTCTTCCTCTCCGCTTCGGCGTGACTTCCACTACTTCATCTTCAGTACAATCATCCACTTCTTCTACCACTACTTTCTCCACTGGTTTCCTTCCCCTGCGTGTAGTTCTAACAGCCGGTAATTCTTCTTCCTCGTCTTCGCTCTCACTTGGTTCCTCCTGCTTCGTTATCTTAGTGGCCTTTCGTCGTCCCGTCTGTGGCTTTTCCTTCTTTTTTGCAACTTCCTTTGTTGGAATATCATCTTCGTACATTTTTTTCATTGCTTTCGTTTTCCTTGGTGTGTTGTTCTCTTTGTACTCAGCGTCGGACATACGTTTTTTAGGGCTCACAGGACTCGCGTTGGTCGATTTTCTCTTTCCAGCTCTGAACTGCAAAGGTGTCGATATAGTTGCGCCTGCTGCTGTAAGTCCACGAACTAGGATTTTCTCAATGTGATCATAATCTGGCTCTTCGTTAAATTTAATGGTGTTAATATAAGTTAGAATTTCCGCAACTTCGCCTAAAATTAATGAATATTACGTATGGTTTTCATCTTAAGGAAATTTAAACTAAATACTTGGTGCTTTCGTCCCAACAAAACTACTTTTCAGGAATTGAGGAATGTTATTCATGTGCTTCTCTTTACTAGTTTGAACTGCTTTGGGGTCTTTCAAACTTTCGCTTTCCCAGGGCAGTACACCGCCCAACCAATGAATTAAATTGTATGCCAAAATCTCAATGTCTCCCCGCCTCGTCAATACTAAAATGAACGTACTTATAAAGTAAACTAAGTGGATATTTCTTAAATTAGTATAGTACCTCCAAAGTGTCCATCTCGGCTAACATATTCTATGGTACCATTATGCATTTTCTTAGGATCAGGTTTAAATTCTGTGGAAGTACTAAAATGACCAGCCAAACCATAATCAACCAAGAATACTTCATTCTTATTCTTCTTACTTAATAACATGTTCGTTGCTTTAATATCTCCATGTGTATAACCACGATTATGAACATATTCCAGGGCGTGCAACTAAAATGTATATTGTTATATTAATAATTAATGTTAGTTGATACAAAAACTTACTATTTGTATTGCTAAGTTAAATGCAGTGGCAGTAGGAAATATTTTATTATTGGTCACATACAATTTTCCAATATCAGTGTCAAATCTCTCAATAACAACAAATCTATACTGCTTACTTTTAAATTCATATAAACCAGAGCCTATGTAGCATGGCATTCCCAAATGTTTCCATCCTTTTAATTCTCTAAATGCTTCAACTAAAATTCAAGATTTGAATTATCATTAAGACAAAATTAATATATTACTAATAACTCACTATCATCCTTCTTGGCATTCCTTAAATAGTAATGCATCTCAACAAATAATGGACCATTCTCACGGGGTTCCTAAAATAAATACACAATTTGAATAATCATCCTACATAATTCAATATAATATTACTATTTTAATACAAAAGGGATATGTTTTGCCTTTGGCACCAACTTCTTGTGCTGTGTATATCTCTCCGAATCCTCCAATACCTATCGATGGACCTAGTTTCCATTTGGAGCCCAAGATCTCACCCTCAGGGATAGGATCAGGCATTTTATATGCATTTCCCTTCTTCTTGGCTCCTGCTTTGGCCATTGTGCTTAGGTTAGAACTACTGTTAAAGTCAATTGTTTCTTTAATAGGTCACATCCAGTGTTGGTTTATAATGATGTAGGCATGAATTTAACCGACACTTTCCGGTTTTAATTATTAGCCGGATATCTTTGGTAATTGTGCGATTTTTTTGTATACGGTGCGTTATAAATTCTTCGTGCCAACTTTAAAACTGAAAAAAACAACCGAAATCGAACAAAACACGAGGGAAATGAAAGCGGATGAAGATAGGCAAGAATATTTAATATTTTTGATAACAGTTCGTTATCATGAAATGCAAATAATAATTTTATTGGCTACACGATAATTATTTTTTTTTTAAATCAGTTCTTTATAATTTAGCAGTTTAATAAATATTCAAAACTTTCTACAATAACGGTAATTTTTATATATTTATTTAAAATACATTTAATATATCTAAAATGTAACTCCTTATGTAATAGTAAGCGAACTGCAGTTGTTAATATGTTCCACACTGTTCTACACAACAATTGCTCAAAATACACTATGAAATGTGATAATTTATATTATATAAATATTCAAATACTTATAAATACTAATAATTCCAGTAATAATGTTAAATTTTTGCTTCATAAATTTCTTGCTTAGTAGTTTTTTTAAAATAAGTTTCAAAATTTAGCCTAACGATATTTATTAATTATATCAAATAAAAACTAGATGTCTCTGCAATTGCTTTAAAAATGCCGTTGAAAAACAAGAACTCACAAATTGTATAAACACAACTTGACGAATCCTATAGGAATTGCAACAAGAAAACTGTAACAACTCAACCAATTATTTTTTTAAATATGTAGGATTTTGACAACATTCAATAGTTATTAAATATTTGAAATCTTTTTCCAGTTATTTATTTTCAAAGATTCTCTAGAGTGTAAAAAGTATTCCTCTAATAGGACAATTATGGATAAATTGGAAATAAATTAGCTAACAAATTAATTAATATATTTATCTATGAAATTGTTTTATCCAAAAATTATAATTCATTTCAGCAATGTAATATATTGTAACTATACTTACAAAATAATTTGATAACGTTCAAATATAAATACTGAAAAATTAAAATTTACTTAAGTCTGGTTACATATTAATACAAATTTTATGAAACATTACGTATTTATTGCTTTAATATTTAATTAGAATTGAAACAATAACATAATAATTTAACATTTTATATATATATGAAGATGTGAAAGATTGTTTTGTGTCTATTGTATGTTTGGTTGCAGCTACACTTGAACTTTTATCCGTTAATTTTCTTATCGATAATTAAATTGAATTTATACTCATATATAGTAATTCATTATTTAATTTTACTAAGATTATTTTGTAATTATTAAATAATTGTATTTGAAGGCGTTGTATGAAGAGTAACAATTTTATAATTATTATTAGCATTGCTAAAAACGTGTAATTATTTATTATTCTTGTAAGATCTGCGTTTCTATATTATTTTTTCTAATTGGATTTAAATCGGTGGTATCGAATCTTGTGGTGGTTTGAAAATGTTGTACTGTCAGCAACTGTCAAAAGAAATGTCATAGAGTAACGATTTATATGTATGGCGTTTACATAGCTTGAAAATTATCCATTTTATAACAATTTGGATTGTTACCAATAAGTGATTTCTACACTTAACGTATACAACACAGGTAATTATATTTTCTGCATTGATTATATATAAAGATGTGTATTGAATTTTGCTTAATTCTAGTTATTGCTGAGGTGAAGGTACTAGTTTATTTTTTATTACATATCTGGGTATAGTTTTCCTTAATCTTCTTCATTTTCGACTGTTAATCATGTAATATTGTGTAACCGAAGTTTATTTGAAAAAAAAAATGGTGATCATAAACACCCTCGTCAAATGACCCGACCGCTGCGGAAACAAAAAGAAATAATAACAAACGGTGTTAGCAATTGTTTACGGTATTGTTGTACATGATTCCAAGGAAACGTTTTATCCGAGGTGTCGGAATTCGATATTCATACTGTTTATTTCTTTGGCAGATAAAAGGGGTGACCGTAACCAAAAAAGACAAAAACAAAACAAGAAGAGAAAAACAAGCAAAGAGGGACATTTAAAAGCCGAGGCTTCGGTGTGTTTCGTCAGAAGCCGCCGTGTGTTGTGAAGAGCAACTAGTGGTGTTATAAAAATGGCCCGTGCACTCAACGACGAGGTGAGTGATCAGTTTTCTTTAATTATATAAATATCCTAACAAAACAAAAATGCGTTTACGAATATCTCGAAGAAGGGACCCGTTCGAAATGATGCCAAAACGAAGCAGGTTTCGTGAATTCCTATAAGATAAGATTACGTTTGTTTGCGGTTTTCACAAGTTGGTTGCCAAGGCCACGCCTATTTGTTGTTTTTGTTGCCGTTGTTTTCAGGTGACGAGACACGCTTGGATTGTAACAACATTGCGCCATGATTGTAAATTAACAGGTTTTCTGTTACCACAAAGGGCTTCCTAGAAAACCTACCCCTTTAAAGACTTAACCTAAAAAAAATGTTTCATTCAAATTTCATTCACTGGAAATAAACACTCGCTTCATTAGAGTAATGAATGGCAAGAATGTCCGAGCTATGTGTCATCGTGGAATTTAGTCATGCATTTAATACCTACAAACTTCAATTAGTCAGGTCACAGTCAGCTTTAACATTAAAGCAAACTGGTGCAATTCGTGTCCCAAATTATTAGTATTACTATTATTTAAAAAAAAAACATCTCCGCTTTTCCTTTTAATTATTTATAGAGTGCGGTAATCAACGCTCTTATTAAACTGATAAGAAACTATTTGTGATAGTAACGAACGCGACCTTGACATGAAAAAAATCATACGCCTTCGATTATTATAATTATTATTTTTCACATCATGTATCCATATTGAATATAAGAATAACAAAACAATATAACGACCAACAATTGTTTATTTAATCTTCGAGGAATGCGGTAGTTGCCCTCACCTGCGCACAGATGGCGACACATGGCATCCCAAAGTCCGTACCGATTTTTTGTTGTTTATATTGATTTGAGTTCGATGTTTATGCAATTCGAATTGTTTAATAAATATCATGTTTAATTTTGTATCGAGACGGTGAAAATTATTTTGGTGTTTGTTACGTGAAATAATCATTGTTAAAACGATTACATTTAATCACAAATACTTTTTAATCATTGCATTTGTTTTTACTTTTGGATATTTCAATCATTATATTTATTTACATTCAGGTTCAGATAACTTAGTATTTTATAGATATATTGTAATTCAATTAGTTTTTTTTACGGATAACAATTATAAAACAAAAGTTGTTATTGTATATTAAGTGTTTATGTTATAAATCGCTTTGAATATTAAAATTCTACTTGTTTGTTATTTTATTAATCATAGTTACATAAACTGAATATTAAATTATAAAAATAAATAGATGTATGAGAGGATACAATATTTTAAATGTTGACGAGGAAGCTAAAGTAAGTAAATTTTCGCTTTGCCAAATATACTTATTCATGTTCTACTTTTTCGGTAAAGGAAAATCCAATTACCGGACGGTTATTGCTTTTTATTATGCTCGAAGTCTTCTATTTCCTCTGCCAAATATCAAGCATAAAAGTTTGTGCACTTCTTGCAGTTTCATTTGATGACCTTAATTCCCCTATATTTATGAAATACATGCATTCATGCATGTATAATTATTAACAAATCTTGTGTATGACGTTTATAGTGTCTTCGAATGACCTAAATTCACAAATAATTTAACAATCACGTTTCACTTACTGTTTATAATTACTACTAAGTACGTTTTTAATTTTTAAATCAAGCAAGAATTCTATTGAAATTCTATTGCTATTACAATTTTAGTGAAATTATATATATTTTTGTAATTATTTATATATTTATTATATAATAATAACAATTTGAAACATATATGAAATAGTTGAATAAATATTTCAAGCATTCAACTAATGTGCTTCTATTAACCAATGTATTCATCCAATTATAAGTTTATTCACGTTAATGAATTTAATTGAAATTGTTCTAGTTGAGAAATAAATTGATGGAATTGTTGTGAAATGAAAAAAAGCATGCGTGCACACGTCGGCTGTTGTTTTTGTAAATTCAGATGCCGAACATGCAAATGAACGTCGCATTTCTAAATTACCACTAATTAATTAAAAGAACAAATATGTTTGAATAGGGAACATGTAAATTTGTATATCTGTGTTGACTTATTTGGAAATTATATAACCGTTTGTGTTTACTCGAGTAAGTAAATTACAAATGAAAAAATATCTAATTTATTTATATTTATAATTAAACGAAACAAAATAAAATATTCTAGCAATAAGAAATATGTTGTATAATTGAATCATAGTTTCACTATTTCAGTTAATATAACCAGGTTTGGGATTCTATAATAGCAACTTTTAATTTCATATACACTTCTTCGTAATTCACACTATAACTATAATCTTACATTCAAAAAATAGAAGCAGTCCTTTTCATTTACTATGAAAGTATAAGTTCTATACATATTTATATATCATTTAAATAGGTTGTTTCCAAGTGTTCTTCAATGAAACGTGATTGACATGAAGTATGTACTCACTCATTACAGTATCATACAGTTATATTTATAGGTATTTTATGTTTGTTCCAAAGTTAATTATTGTTATATAAATTTAGAGATTTTTTTTTGATAAAGTAATCATTTCTACTGGTTATGTGTTAATTTTTGATATTTTAGTTATATAACTTTTAAAAATTAATGATTTGAATTAATAAACTTATAGTCTACATTTTCATAGGTTATTGACCTCCGAACTGGATGTTGGTTAAAAATAGGACGAAGACTGGTCTGGAGTACCGGCTCCAATGATCGTATCTTTAACTATAATCTACATTTGAACTTGAATATTTCTGTTTAATGTGTTTTATACTGAAACAGTGTATTTTCTAAATATTTAAGTAGCGTTTTTAAAATGAAAGTAAATTAGAACTGGTACTTTGAAGGTGAAATTAAAAAATCTTTATTTGGTGTCGGAAGTGTCTTTATGGGAACAATACCAAATTCAGAGCTTTAAAAGTGAAATGCCGACACTCCAAAGTTGGAAAATGATTGAATACACTGAAAATGAAATTTTTTGGAACTTGATTTGAAGAAACTAAATTATGTTACTCCA